CACCTCACCTGACGATCTGCATCTGAGGTGCGTCAGCTGTGATCTGAGGCAAGCGTTAGTCTGAGGCACAACATATATACCATAATTAAATTTAGTATTTAAAATTCTAAATATACGTACGTAAGTGCGAGCCTTCCTTGTATGAGTTAGTCTGGGAATTTGAGTTCTCTGATTAAGAATAATATTCATCAATCGGAGAATTCTCAAATTCCCGGATTGACATTTTCCTAGACCAGTCCTCATTTGTATGTTACAATACAATCCAAGAACTTTAACAGAATATATCATCTAAAAGATGCATCTCAGCAAAATTAGCTACGTGGCGCAATATAGATTTTAATCAATCAGAGTAGTATTATTCAACAAAATAGATCTATTGATAGAGAACTGTGATCAATTAAAAGCTTCTTACATAGTGATGAATTTAACAGTTAAGAGTGACGCCGTAATTATGATGTAATATATTGAATAAGGGTGCATTATATTAAGAAAAGCTTATCTAAAGTACGCCTAATACGAGAAGGGCAATTTAGAGCAGTGTCTCGTTAAATTAATAAGTTTAAATATTTCTTTCTTGTACGTACGTACGTACAGTACAATACTTTTGATGAAAACTTGGTATCTCATCTCATGAGGCGTCAGGTCTTAAACACTTTTGATCATCTTTAGAGATTTTCGGGTGGTACAGTTTTTTTATCGATCTTATCGTTATTTACGAAGTATAATAAGTTTACCGGTCTAAATGCATTCTTTATAAATGCTTTTTAGTGAGAATTTATATATGCTGTAAGTGGAAGCGGAATTAAGTGGAAACGGAATTTTTATATAAACCCAGCATTTTGGGGTTGATTTTATCATATATACACCCTTACCCTAACCTTAATTTAACTTGGAAATTCCGAATCCACTTAATCCCATTCTCACTTACAACATATATACGTAGAAGGTTATAATATTGCTTATAAGATTTGCACTAGCGACATCGCGACCCAATCTAACCCAAATTGTTTTAGAATTAAAAGTCGGATGTGGACATGTGGTGGTCACACTATTGCTAAAATCTGGTGGTTCTGTTACACATAAGCAACTATATGTATATATTACAGTATTACCAATTACTACGTATATATTAACTATTATACCCTCTTCCGAGATAGATTCTGAAAACCTCTTTATACGTATAAATTATTTAAATCATTTTTATTTCCAATTTTAATAAATTTATTTGCCATCCTTTTTTTTTAACGTTTGTGAAACTAATTTTGAAACCAGCTAAATAGGCAATTTTAAACCTTAGGATCTTTTTTTTTTTTTATTCATATAACTATATGTAGTTCGATCAAACATAGTCTGTTGCGTAAATGACAAACTACTCTGCAATTAACACCGACGATGAGATCACACCTCAAGCCTCAAACAGCAATGAATTCACGT